TACTTGGCATTCGTTTTGGTGAAAGAAGAAGGTTCAAAAATGAATGCTGTAATGCGTGCCTGGGTCAGCTGGTGGGATTTTACTGCAGAGGTATGAAGGAGACTTTGAGCAATGATGGCGGCAGAATGAGAGCGTCTTCGGCAATGTCCGGCTCCATCCTCGGTCTTTCCGTCTCTGCCGCTTTCCAACCAGTCTTCCTTCCATCTTAGAATTTAAGTATGACATTCTGAACAAGCGCTAAAACTGGATAGAGCAAATTTGAAGCTGATGTAATGACATCTATGTTCACCGGTAAGAACGTCGAAGGTATGTTTTTCTCTTATGTAAAGGCCTTGCGGATCTTTTACAGAATAAACTCGGTGACAGGTTTCTCTTTTCTCTTGATTGCGATGTCTAGAGGGCAAAATTAGTGAAGTACCACTCCCACTCGGTTGGCTGATCTCTCTTCACTTATGTCTAATTTACTGTATGTACTCCTGCTCAGTCGCAGTTATGGTCCTCAACATACAAAAAGAAAATGCAGTGCTAGGGCCACCATATTCCTACCCATTCACTGTTTGTGACGTATAAAAGATACACTGACTATCAGGTGCACGGTGAATTGAGTTATAGGAAATCGAACGCAGAAACCAAACGAGTTACGAATACACCACAATAGCCCAGCCAACAAAGAGAAATACCTCGATCCAGAGGCCCAGAAATTGGTAGTCATAATCGATCTGTTGTCCTACCTTCACCGTATTTGTTCTTCACGACATCCTTCATGAGGATAAGCATGTATAATATGAAGAGATTTTTTTTTTAAAAAAAAAGAAAAAAGCACGGAATGAAGAAAGATCGTGTCCTCGGCCGACAACTATACACAATAACACCGTTCCTATCTGAAGGCCGCAAATAGTGTAAAGGCCAACCTGCTGCACTCTAAGAGTTCGATCCCCCACATCCGCTTCAGTCCACGTTTTGAACTTTTTCTTCCTTCCTTCTGCGAAGGAAGTAACCGATGAAAAAATGACTCATGCTCGAGCAGTTGGTATGGTTTGCAATCGAGGGAGAGACTCACGAGTCACAATGGAACACCAAACTCAGCGATAAGATCATAAACGCCGTCCATACGGTGTAACAGCCAGCACCTCCGAGGGCAGTTCAGGGTCCGATTCCCCGTATGTGAATAAGTCATCTAGCGAAATATTTTCAGTTTTATGGCTAACACAGTCAGGCAGACAACGTCGTTCCGTGTGTCTTGATTGAATACAGATACCTCTAGGATTTGAAAGGACGGAAATCTGAAGAAGGTTCGTATCGGCCTGACGGACCCGTGTAATTTCTTTTCATTGAAATAGACCTTTGGGGTGCAGTATACATTTTGGTTCTTCCACTCCTTGCCTTTGCGGCACAGGAATGTTCACCTTGATTGCATGATATGGGAGGAGAGGTTGGCTATCGGGTGAACGCATCAAATCTCAGTGGAATTAAGACAAAAATGATCGGAAACGAACGTGAGGTCAACATATATAATGGCAATTTTCGAGGTCACAAGTGATACCAGGAAATGCTATATGGCCGGTCGATCGATCCTTGCATAGACGTTAGAAAGGTGATGGCCGACCACGAGTGTGTACGGAAATTCGGTACGTCAGACAAGGCTGTATAAAAAGCGCTATGAACTGGTTTAAGAGTCTCGGACTTCTGTCGTCCTACACCGCTGCAATTGTGCCTCTGCTCCACTTCTCCCAACATGCCTGCATCCGAACGATGGGCACATATGCCCCCTCTCATCATCCACATATTGCCAGTCTCCTAGATCCCCACCCTTGAATAACAGAAATGCCGAAATCCGAAATGTCGAGCGAATCCTAACTTGGACATATCAATGAGGAAGGATTTCAAGACACATTTATGGCTCACTCGTCACAATAATGTACTTGTGCACATAATGGACGACTTTGTTCTGATGAAGGGTATAAGCTACAGCTGTACACAAAGTAGGATAGAAAGATTCACCAAAAGAAATGTAGTTCACAAGCACGTAAGCACTACCGGCAAGCCTTCTCCGCGTCACAACGTCCTATGCCTCCCTTAGTTGTCTTCGAATAGGCTATAGGTACATTGCAAGCTCAAGAAGCGAAGATCTTCGCAGCAAGAATGGTACGAGATTTAGAGCCGTGTAGACAATGCGGGCTAGTAAGCTATATCGGCTTCAGAGTGGTATCTGGAAGGAGCGATGTCGTGGGTTGGCCGGGTACTGAAAAATGACAGTAAACCTACAGCGAAAATCATCATAAAACCAACATTCCGTAAAGCCCGGTGTAAATCACCCTTATTCATTGATGGTAAAACTCGTCGATGCTGTGCACAAAAAGTGCAGCTATTGTCATAATTAATTCGTCCTTTGTATCCCATAGAAAACCGTGGTGGAAGGAGAGATCGTTCGTCTATGTACGGCTTCGTCACGACGAGGAAGGAAATAGACGGCCATGTTGTATTCGAGGGCGGCGAGTATCACACGAAACAGCCAGCAGTATGTGATTTTCGCATAGGAAGAAGACGAGAAAATGCCAGTGCGGATTCTCCCATTCCGTGATTTCCAAGACACGTTGAAGGGCTTTAGTCGGAAAAGCCGCGGAGGACGGAATCGGGACGGAGTCGGATTTTGCCGAAGATGCCTTCCTTCTGCCGCCATCACCTCAATTCCACCCCGGTATGATTAATGCTCGTTGTCGTCCTTTCCTCAAAGTCTCCTTTTTATCTCTGCAATCGTTTAGTCTAAATAATGTCTCAATGTCCTGCTTCTCCGCCGAACGACGTTGCTTGATTTTTCTGTGTAAAGCAAGATCTCGGGTTGAAAGCACGTATTTTTGGGGAGAAACGTACGCGGCAGCTTCTTTGATTGTTCGTTTTGATGCTGATAGTGACTGATTCTCAGGATTCCTGGATCGTAAATTCGGCCCTTCGTGCTTTTATGTTCTTCGTTTGGGCGCTCCCCACCTCCTGCTACTCTCATTAATATGGACGTATGGAGGAATAACGACAATCAACCGTCACAGCGACTGCAAGCTCAGTTCTTCGCATCATACGAAATTTTGAGCTCAAACCTTCGCCGCCAATCAGTGAATACCGATTTACAGAGGGCATCATACAGTATTGGTTTTAGGACAGCGTTCACACTGAGTATGTTTGCCTATTTTTCAGTCTCTAGCCTACTCTTGACATAGCTCTCTTTAGCACCTCCCATAATGTTCCGCCTGCTGCGCTATATTCACCAGAGGGTCATGCGCGTCTTTGACATCAGCAATAGATATCAGCCTCCCTGTCTGATACTGAGCTTGTAGCCAGGGAGATCGCTGCTTTCAGCACTCGCGATGTACATATCAGGAATACCGGACGATGATTCAAGAGGATGCAGGACATTGTAAAGGGGAGATAGGGTCGCCAGTATTGCTTATCGTGCGTCCACAGAGGCTTGGCGAGGAATACAGCTGTTGATAAGGAGCGTCACCAGCAGGCGACCATCTGGGGCGACATATCACTGCGATATGCCCGGGCGCGCGAATTACGTGTATATGATAGAGCTCTGGACGCTGCTCCTCCCGCCGATGAAGAATATCGTTTGGAGACTGGCTGTAGAGTGTGCCGTTGATGCCCGGACTAACACTTTGAGGGAGGGATGTGTGATGTTGCTCCTGCACTCAAGGACGAGGCGGTCCGGTTTGATGAGTATGGCTGGCTGAAGAGGAGGAGGAACAGCTAGCTAGGACGAATAACGAAAGAGAAACGTAGAGGAAAGCAGCAGTAGTGGCGAGTCTTTGCTATCCTTTAAGTCCAACGAATTGACTGCGAGGCCAGTACTATCCGTGTCAACCTTCCAAACGATGCCTCTTCCACCATCCCAAGACGCTTTTTTGCTTCTAGTGCCACCTATCCTCAATTCTCTTTGACCAGTGCTACAACTATTCAGGAATTGTGTATCCATCTAGCTTGAGCAGGATTGCGACGTTTTCCAATGAGTGAGTCTTCCTTTTTTCATTTACCGTCTGTTCTGATTTGGTTGATTGATTAGATGCCTACTGGCGACTTTACCGCCGTTGAGATAAGCTAGGCGGAATCCTCGGGTGTTATATGAACCACGCCACTCTCGTCCGTTCACGAAGCTTGCACCAGGGTGGTGCGAGGACGGGATCAGTGTGCCAATCACTTGGAGGTTCCTTCTTCTCTTATCCACGTCTTCGAACTACGGATGATGCGATTATATTTGAAGTTCCGTCATACTAAATCACGTCTTGGGTCCGTGTGCACCTGGCATCCGGGCTACTGCTGCCTTGATTGGGAATCTGACCCGGGATTTCTTTCCTCGCTGTGATTCCGTTTCCCTGGTCGACCTCAAATTGTGAGGCTGACGTTCCCATAGTTGCCTTCGACTGAACAACTGCCAGGGACTTGAACATAACGCTTCGCCTTTCAGTCGTTATAAGAGAGGCTAGCTGTGTTCGGCTGCCAGGGATTACACGAGTGAGTCAAGAAATTAAATTCTTGCTCGTCCTTTATTGATTCTATATTAGATTAATTCCTTGTACAAGCTCATGGTCGTCGCTTAGGGTTCCGGCGCTCTTCGGTATCCATCCACTTTCGGTGTCATCATTTGGACGCTACTCGGATTGATCTTAAGCGCAGCTGATCCGACTCTCGGTCATTTTTCCCCATCTATGAGCGACGCAGATAGCCTTTGTTTTGGGTCAGTTTTTGCGTGACCCCATATCTCACTCCTGGGGTGCAGAGTATCGAATTACGACGTACGCATCGTGTATGAAACCAACGTTGCTTGCATATATTTTACAGTACGTAGGTATTGTTTACTTTGGTGACGGCTTTTCTCATTCACAGTACGCTGTTTTAGAATGCATCACTTTATGTCGTAATTGAAAACCACCATGTATCTAAGTCTTCGATTCGGTGCACACTGTACATGGCCGGTCATGCGTGAAGTATGAGACGCGCAACACCATGAATTCGTTGAAGGCCATCATCTCTGCCGTAAAGGAAGAAACGGAAGAGCCGTATCCCGCATCTCTCATCAATTTCTGCCCATGACTTGCCGTGGGGTATTCAAATCCGGCATATTTTATAAAGACCGCTTGTTCAGAATACGCCGGAGTTTGCTGATGCGTGAGGTAGCTGCTCCGAACCATACACCCGGCGCAAACGATGCAGTGGAACTCGATAAACTGGCGCATGGACATTAAGCAGAGTCGTTTTTTGCTCACTCAAGCGAGATCAGAGGTAAGAAGTACCAGTACTATACAATGAATATGTTATTAATGGCCCTTTCCCTACACTGTCAACTTTGCCGCAGTCCATCCGGACGGAAATATATGAGACTGATCAAATCCTCCCGGCGCCAAAACTCGTACCATCCCACAAGTATCACGCTCCCCCTGATGATTGTCGGCGAGCCACGGTTTAATTTCCCCCACCTCGTCGGCTATATCAGTGATTCTCTTTATTGAAAGCTTCGGAACTTTTGGATTTTTGCGAAAGGAGACCTCAATTGCTAGAGAAGACCGCTCTGTGACGGAGAACTCGTTCATGTAGTCAGATATGAATGGTAAAAGAGTCCGGTCGTGTTTGATAATTGTGACTTGAGCGAGGAAAGCGAGGTATTTCCTATCCTTCAAGGTAACCTTGGCTGATATGATTACAGTCGATTAGAATCGCCCAGGGACTTTTAGCGCGTTGGAACTCACATTTGATACATTTAGCTTTGTGCTCCGTTTTCCAGTGTGTCCGTTGGCACAACATAGAGCAATACTGGACGCTTTCACACTTGGAACAGCATTGCATATTCCTTCCATATACACGTCGGCACTAGATAGAATACAATGAGGAGAGGTCGGCTCGTTTGAACAATAGAATGCCTACCGCAAAGCAAACATTGCGTAATTTATCACAGTTCCTCCTGATCACATAATACTTTCGAGCGATCGATTTCAGATCTGACCAAGCGCGAACAATTTCTGCTGTATACTCTTTAATGTCCACAATAACACCTTTCTTGTCCAAAGAGATGATAGAGCGAATAACACCGTGGGCGACTGATCTGTACGAGGTGTAGAGCATAATGGCGTCCATTATCGAGGGGATGGCATGCCGCACGCTAAATCTCCTGTCATATGGGAGCAGAGGCCAGACACGTAGCAGTAGCACTAAAACGCGGCTATCGACCAATGCAAGGATTATAGGTAAGTTGGAATGCGAGAGACTGGCGCGTAAAAAGTTTACTGTGCTGCGAAACCAGTTCCAAAGTCCGGAATTACGAGTAGGTCGAAGGTGGATGATCTTGCCAGCGAATCGGCGCATAAGACTGCATATAAACTGTACACTCTTCTCGTGTATCACCGCTTCTGATAGAATCGGTGATTTACATATGACGGTCATGAGGTCCATCGGACAAGAACCGCGGAAGGCATCATCGTCATACCCATCGCCTTCAACGTAATCCTCCAAAACCGAGTCGAAGCAAAGCTTCGCTGTCTCCACTGGGTTCACTTCTAGTGTGGACCAGCCGACCCATCGTGTTTCGTCCATAAAGAGAAGATTATACAATAGGCAACTCATGTGACGCCGGGTGACATGGCAGCGTGAGAGGCATGACTGACGCCAAAATTCAACAAGGTAAGGATGTAATGCATCGTCGGTGGAGATCAATTCGTAGTATGAGGTCCTTCTGGCGAGGGATTCCAGGCACATGGCGGTCACGGTCCTCACAGTCGTTAAATCCACGCCCGACCCCGACGTCAATCCTGACACGGAAGGATTCTTGGATGTGCATACAGAGATGAAGTGGAGACTCCAAGCGCGTATCCCTGGCCATAATATGCTGAATTCCGAGTGCATTTCTGAGAATCCCTGGGTCCATCCTGGTTGGTAGCCACTGTGTAGACCCCTACAGATGGTTCGAAAACAAGCTATTGCCATGATAGTGGACGGAACGTTTAACGAGTTCTCATTACGCGAGGGAATTTTGCTGGGGGAAAGGTGGTGTTGGAACACATCAATGTACGCCGGGAGTATCTGATCGTCTGGAACCTCGTCTAAAACGGAGACGGAACCGTACATTGCTTGTTTCTACGCACAGAATAAGTACAGTTGGGACAGAATGGGAAAGCGACGACAGACCCTTCTTTCAATTGCCTCATCAGTAAGCCATGCTCTTGCGGGTATATCAGGGTTGGTAGTCATCGAGAAGTGCTCCTTCGAAAGGACTGGAAGTGACTGAGGAGTAAAAGTCCAATGTAGTACGGATGAAAGAGGCTTTCGGAGCGGCCATGGAATACCCTTACGCTATTTTTATTGGCACTACCGAGCTGTTTCATCATCCCAAGGATCAACGTCAGTAGAAACGGGCATCTCCTTGGTTTGTAGCGGATACGCTCACCGGGAGGAGGCTGATAAATTGGTGATCCGACTGATCTACTCTATTCCAATACTTGTCGTTCTCTTCTGATAAGACATCAATAAGGAACTAAGATCATTGTCCTGTGCACCGACATGCTCCCACACCACGGTTACTACGGGATACCATTAGCGATAATTGGATATCATTTCTCTGTTGTTGAAGAAAATGAATCCCTGGAAAATATGAGTACGTGAAAAAGACGCCATCATGGAAGACGAGTAACTATCGGAGTTCAGAACTAGGCACATGTTGTATCTTCGAGCCGGGGGAAATCCAATTAGTCAGGCTGAGCCTCTGAGACGTCCAATTTTGTTTGTTCTTACCTATCTCCGACATGATCTTATCGATATACAAGGTTGGTCGTGCATGTTCGATCTTCATACGGAGTTAAAGCTAAAAGATTCCCTATTTGTTCAACTAGCTCCAGAAGCATGGATGGACCAGCCGTCGGGCATATCCCCTTATTTACGATCCGGGAAATTGGTGTTATATGCGCCACTCTCACCATCACTCTGACTGCTTTCTATAGCAATCGGTTTGGCATCCGTGTCAAGCCTGAAGTTCGATTCTCAACCTGTTCATACTATCATGTCTCCAGACTTTGCGTTCAACGTGTTCATGGCTGGCTACTCCTCCGTCTGGGATTCCATGGTTCATGCTAGCACCGCGGTATATCGTAGGATGCAAAGATTGGATAGCGTGCGTGTCTGCTGAATACAACTGAGATTTCAATAGCAGCTGTGTAGATTCAGATGTAGTATAATAGCTGTCCGCGACAATATTGTGGGTTCGATTTCCTCTTTCTGAAATTTGGGTCAACAGTGTTTCATTTTGAGACAAGTTTGTACGCCCTGCAAAGGATATTGGACGCTGAAAGACTCGGTTTTAGTTATTCTGAATTGTCCAGTGGTCATCATATACAATGAAGATCTCGAATTGGTGGGCCATTCATTGCGCGGTTTTGATTCGCCAATGAGAATACCAGCTAGTACGACCTGCTTATCGTTATGAACAGCTATCCATGTAATAGAAACAAGCTGTGTACTACCTGACGAATCACCTGTAATCAATTAATTCGACGGCACGATCGGAGAAGAGTGTAAATTTGTAATTAGCAGATGAGGTTTAAATCCCATTTAACATAGTGGAGACTAAGAAAGAAAGTAACGAATGTTTACATCGATGGAAGAACTGGCGTAACTTTTTTCCACTTCAAAATCCCGGGAGTTGTCGCCCTAGAAAAGTGTTCGTCAATGTGCAAGTGACGATGAAAGAAGAAAACGCAAACAGGGACGGAACCTGCCCGAGGGTTCTGCGATCTGTCCAAGTTGTGGGAGATGATAACATTTCTTCGATGTCCAAGGCCAGTATGTGAAATGACGTAGAGAGAAAAGCACGTTGTAGCTTAGGAACCATTGGCGAAGATGAACAAGTATAAGAATGATCGTCGTTTTTACGAAAATAAAGCCTCTCTGAGATACCGGGATATCCAGACCTGACTACGGGCTTATTAGGTACCACGAGAAACGAGATATGGAACGACAAACCTGAAATTTCCCTCGGTAGGGCTCCCAAAAGAAAGTATGCTGTCACTGAGTACATAAGCACTAAGATAACGATGAGCAGGGGTCGTGGTGTCTTGAGACTCCGCATCGCAGCCTTCAGTTTCAGACTCACTTGACGACATGAAAAGACAGGGGGACAGGATGTGAAGGAGTGCGGAAATAAGCGGTGTTGCATCAAAGTGACAATGCGTTGGAAAAGACCAGTACTTGAACGATTCACGAATCTCACATCCATCCACAACAGCTGCGGAGTCGACCTCGAGAATGGAGCAGAGTGGCGATAATATCATGATAGTGCACGTACGCCCTACCACCGTCGCTTTGTCAAACGGTTAGGTAGACAAACTTGAATCGTGGCCAAACTCGACTATATGTGCATGACTTAAGAAGAGACAAGGTATCGGTGTCTGACTCTTATATAACTGAAGGTAATCCCTGCCTAGATGATCCGAGTTAGCGATGTTGCTCATCCTGGTAACTAGAATGCTCGCCTTTAACCCATATGCGTGGTCACAGCAGCCCAGAACTATCATTGATATCCTCTCCCACATTTATTCAACCCGTACTTAGCAACGCGAAATCTTGCCGGAACGGGCGTGGACCATCAGCGTGGTGGTTGAAAAAAGAAAGCTGTGGCTGTGTGGCGTTGACGCGTCGCGGGTCTGTGCGCACCTGGTGTCCGGGGTACAATCGACCGTGATTGATGGCGGTTTCTTCTTGATCGTTATCACCTTCGTTGCCATTCCAGTTTATCTTGACGCGTCGTCTTGCTCGTGCCTGACAATGGTTCTTCACCAAATCCTTCAGGTAGTCTCACCTATAGCGAATATCATCTTGGTCCTGCTTGTTTCATGGATACGGTGGAAGTGCCGATGCAGAATATCATGAATTCCAGGATAGAGGATGCCCGCGGAAAGGTTCTGGCCAGAATACGTGTGGAGATGCGTCGGACAAAGCCGGATATTGCCGAGCGTGCTCTCCTTCCGATCGATCATCGTCTCTTGCTCAAATTTTCCGTTGGATCTCTACCCTCGCTTTTTATCCCTGCTATCTTCGCTTCAGGCTTCAGCATGTTTTAACCCTGAGGTCTGAGAACCAAGTACAATTGTGGGCGTTGTTTCTTCGGGAAAAATGTACGTAGCTGATTTTTTTGATTGCCGGTCTACAAACTAACAGTAATTAAATGTGAGACTGGGAAATGGTTATCACGCATTCATCGTCTTCTTTCTCCGTGGCTTCTGCTATATTCGTCATCGAAAAGCTTCCAGATTATTCAGGCACACGTACTCCTTCCAAGTTCGTCTCCTTATACTGTACTATTTCGACCGGTAATTCACATAACGCGTAACAGTCGCCTGTGAAGTGAATCTGCCAGTATATCGTAACGCATAACAAATGGTAATGAAGTTAGTAGTCTGCAGATATCAAAAACACGATTTTTACGCCTCCAAAATACTTTTTCGGCGCCACTGCATTACCGTAGTGTTTATATGCCCGGTCTCACACATCAGCGCTGTATCCTTCTACGATTTCCTTGCGAGATCCAGTCTGAAGGGCTATAGGTGCTCATTGTTTGTGAGGGTCGGTTGAGACCAGCAGGGCGTTCCACTCGCAACGTGATTGTATAACTAGGTGAAATTCTTTTCATAATCTTATCTGATATGCTGGTGGCCCTCGCTCGGGTGCTGTGAAGCTAATTTCCTAAACGTAATGCATAACATTGAGCTCTGAACCTCTAGTCAATTCACCATATACCATAACGCGTAACACCCAGTGAAGTTACGGTCGAAATAGTACAGTATCTCGTTTCTCACATTAACCAACACGCTTTCAGGTATGAATGTATGCACCTTGGTGTTACCCTGCGGCCACTCACAGACACTCATCTATGTAAACTCAGATGACAGTACTTATCTTTTCGATACATACCGAGATAATGCGACGTTCTGCATTTGGTGCGTATCTTGTCCTGCTATTACGGTAACAGATTCAGAGTTTGTGTTGGAAATCTCATGCCTGCGTGACATCATTCCAAGGCTCGTTGTACCGTACCATGTACGCATTAATACGTATTGAGAATGGGAGAGCTATCCAACGATATTCAGCCATCATGCGCTAAGATCTGTTTCTTTATAACTCCATTGAGCGGCCACGATCTGGTCAAAAATGCATCTTTCAGGATATGTCTTGGAAATAGTGCCCTCATCTTGCGTATCTGGAGGATAACTTGCTACGAAGCTTTATATGTTGCCCACCGTCGCGCCAGATTTGTATCAGAACGTGGTTGAGTTCGCTAACTTTCCAATCTCGCTGATGAGTTTCCTTCCAGACTCCAGAGGAGGGCGATCGATGTGTTGTGTGCGATCCTAGCTATGGATCCTAGCTGTACATAGCTCGGTTATCAGGTCAAAGCCGTTATGATGGAATTTGATACTGCTCATTCGATACAGCGTACGGATTTCATACAAAACGATGTCGTTCCCTACGACAGCTCACCGTACTGGGTATAAAAACTTAAGCAGTTCAGCACCTATTCACATACGGGGAATCGAACCCCGAGCTGCCCTCGGACGTCTGGCTGCCAGACTATATGAACGGTGCTCATCAAGCCATCACTGAGGTTGGTGTTCTGTCGTGAGTCTAATCTCTGGAATGCGGAACCAGGCCAACCGTTCGAATTATGAGTGTTAGTCACTTAGTCACCGGTTACTTACTTTATTTATAAAGTACCAAACATTGATTTAGGCGGATAAGCCTCCGGAATGAGGCCGGTTGGCCTTTACACTATATCATTATCGAGCTCTGAGGTGGGAACGATGTTATCGTGTGTTACTGTGTGCTGGTGACTGTGGTAACACTAGCTATGGATTGCATTGCATATCGCTCTATGGAAGACATCCACTGCGGCACGAAGAAATGGAACGTCGAGTACGGCGAGTAGATATCCATGTTAGGACGGACAAATAGCTGCAAGGCTGCAGCTGGGTTCATCACCGTTTCATTGTAACATATCATTTTTGCCATAACGATCGACGAATACAACAACGGTATCTATTATTAACCGCGCCTTGTAGCAGTTAATAATGCCCTTGTATCTGTAGCTGGGGGTTCGATTCCCCTTATCTGCCATTTTCAGGTGCAGTGCAAATTTTGCTCAGAGGCACAACATAGCGAACTTTGCATGCCAGTATTTCGCTGATGTATATGACTATTCTCCGACGGTCACCATATAATTATGGAGTAACATCCGAATGGAATGATGGAATGTGGTCTATCCTTGCTCTGGGAATAGATTAGGTAACGTCCTCTTCCTCTGCGCACTTATCATTTGATCCGCACATACTAAGCCATCCCACACACCCACTCTAAATACAGCACGTAGTGCGACGAACTCCCGCACAGCGATTGTCTACGGGTAGCACTCGCCATCCTCCTAAGTCCTTTCCACTCCGCGCTCGTCTTTGAACTCGCTTGAGATGGGAACGATGAGGAGAATATGTGTCACAGCGCTTCAATGCAACTTCAACGGTGATCTCCTCCTCGCCGTGCAGGATGTTCAAAGTCCCTAAGGAGCATGTTTTATTCTGCAGGAGAGGAAAGAGGGCATTAGGATGTATGTGGCTTCGACTGGAGAAGAGAAAGAAGACATAACACAATCTCAAATCAGGAGAAAACGGAATCGGTACTCCAAGCCAGTGACACTAAGGAACGCCACGAAGCGTTGGATCCTCAGAAAGCAGGTTCTTGACCTAATGCACCCCTTCCCTATATCTTTGTACGGGATTTTCATCCGTCAGTCTTCCAATTTCTTCTGTTTTATTTTGTTGAACGTCCGTTACTTCAGAAGTCAGTCAGCAGTACTACAGGGCGCAGTCAAAAAGCACTCCGTCGAATTACAGCCATTGTTTGAAGACGGGTTCGAACCGCGAAGTCCTTGTTCTCGCATTTTATAACTTCTCCAAGTGGTCGACACATCTGAGTTCATGTTAGCTCTCTTGGGGTTGCCAACGGTCCACGGAACATCTGTCACGTAGTTAACGCTCTCCCTTTGAGATGAAGTACGCAGCAAAGAGACTCAGAGCAGTGTACGGCGATGGTGGGTTCGAATCATCCCTTTTGTGGTCAGGTTACCGTCGATCACTTGAATGGGATGCATGATCGTGAGCTTTCTTCCCATTCAAGGATGACAGTGGTATTCCAACGGAAGAGGACCTCCATGATTCGATTCCTAGGGTTCTTTCTTACGAGATAGGCATCGAATCGTGTGAGAAGACATCTAGCATACCATGAGTCAATCCTTTGCTGCAGAACGACTTGAACGTAATATTGCGGTTTTATTCTTCGAAGGTCAGCGTTGAAATTGAAGCACAATAGTGAATCTGACTTTCTTTCATGAAAAAAATAAAGTACGATACGCCTGGGGCATTACCTGACAGTCGGGGACTCGAACTTGCTAGTAGGATTCTACCCCAATTCTACCCTTTGAGCGATGATGACATGCGAATATTGCACCTGCAGGAGGTCCTTGGTGTGTGTAAAAGCCTTCCTTCTCATGTCGCTTCGTTTACAGGAATAGAGTGACAGGATCGAAGTCTCCACCGGAGTTTGGATAGCGTAGGGGAGAGAATATCGCGTTCTATTTCGTGAAGATTGTAAAGGGCACGAACAATTGAATGGGTGACAATATGGCTGAGGATGGTGGGCGAGGAAGGAACGCAGGAAATGCGGAATTCAGACATGTCCGCACCGTTCCGAGGCCATGCGTCAAATTAGATGGAAAGGAGGGTATTGGACACAGCCTAAAATTAATAGTCTCACCCGCAGATAGAATTAACTTACGTGAACTCTGACATGAAATGGATCACGGGCAGACCACACTACTCGCCTTCAAGAAGGACAATTTCGACTCTGGTATCTGGGCTTGAACATCCCCTCCCCCCGACTGTCAACTAATCGATCTCCTATTTCCTCGTCTCTCTTTTGTGAAATGACGGATACTTCGAAATTTCAGGAATGTATAGATATCGATCCCTCTACCATTTAAGATTCACAAAAAAAACACAGATTATTATAGGACACCCAGTACCATCCCTCGGACTCGAACCAAGTTGTTACATGCAGCCGTACCTGTGACCTACGTGACGGCATTTTGTCTATTTACTTTTGAACTAACGACTTGGATAGCCTCTGATCTATCTTACCCCAAAACGAATCGATATGAAGCTCCGAGC